ATTATTCATGTTAATATTTTAATTTATGCATACGTGTTAAAGCACACGTTCATTCTAGATTACAGAAATTGATCGATAGTGGAATAATGTATCGCTTGAAAAAGAAGTCATTTAAAATGAAAAATATTGATGAGATAAAGTATGAACCAGTTTCTATAAGCAGTGTATTATCACTTATTTTCTTCATTCTAATTGGTATCGTATTAAGTATTTGTATACTAATCATCGAAGTGTATGATTTTGCTTGTAAGAAAAAAAAGAAACAAGCATCACAAATTATTTCGTTTAATAATTCACAATATCTTGATGGTAAAACTAAAGCGCAGTAGAAAAAATATTGAAAAAAATTTAAGAAATTATAAGATCTACAAAATTTAAACAAATAACATTAATATATACTTTTCCAATTAATTTTTATAATATAGTTATAATTTTTTTTAATTGAATTGTAACATAAGCATAAATACATCTGATATTTCGCAGTGTACATTATTTTTATTGTATTTGCCTTGACATAAAGCTTTCATTTATGTTTAAAGAAGTATTAAATTTTTAAGTGTGATGTTCATCTATTAATTAAGAAAGTGCATTTCTCGGTTATATTGATTTTAACAGCTGTTACATTATGTTGATGGAGAACGACGTTTTTTTCAGACGGTGGATTATACAATCACTTGCTCGCTAATAAAAACGAATAATTTTTACTTATGAATACTCGCTCCTAGAAAAGCGGAAAGAAAAATGTGAAAAGAAAATGGGGAAATAAAAAAAATTCATTTAATAATAAAATAGATGGTATATTGAAATGGAAAAAATTCTTTCTTTTATACGTATTAAAACACAGTTAAGCGTTGTGTTTCTTCAGATCTCCACAACGACAACATACACAATACTCAATGCAAATATAATTTTCATATGGAATTAGAAATTAAGTCTCGTAGGATCTTCTTTTATAGTTTCATTAAAATTGTCCAATCGAATTCAGTATAACACAGTTGTTCGTTTGCTGCTTTCAAGTCGCTCAAATAATTCTTGGTAGATACGATGAAAATTATGACATTATTTGTGCAATTAACAATACTCCTCCTATTTTTTCTTTTACCGAAAATAACAGAATCTTACAAACATATTTCAATTAGCGACGAAAACATTCCTTTGATCATCGACATTTGCAAATTGTATCGTGCATCGTCCGTCATTTTTTTATACGATGAATCGAAAAAAGGTATACAAACCTGTTCCACATTTTATTTTATTAGAAATATTCATTGACGTAACATTATTTATTAGCTTTTATTCTAATTTTTTCTAAATGATCTCTTTTTATTTAATAGAAATGGAAATTACAACGATGATGTTCAAATGGACGCGTGCACTTTCTCGCGAAGGTTTTATGACAACAAATTTCTATTTCTCAGAGTTGCATAAATCATCCTATTACGTAAAAAAAATTGTACAGCCGCTTTACGTTGCAATGATTTCTAATTACAAAGATATTGATGAACTTTCATTAGCCACAAGTACTTTCGACATGTCTTTTGCTGTGTGGTTTATTATTTTTACTCATAGTGTACATGATCCGGATTATTGTCACAATCCACCGTTTAATATATTTCATTTGAGATTCGACTCGAAAATGATCGTCCGTTGCAATAGGGAAAATATTTTACGTGAATGGTATTCGATCGATAAAAATGAAACGGAAATCGATGACGTAGCATTGTGGAGTTTAGAAAACGGAATTACAACGATTGTTCCTAATACTCTGTACGATAGAAGGAAAAATTTAAAGGGTATGATTATGAAGGTTGTTATAATTAAGGTAAACGAATTTTGTTGAAGATGTTTTGTCTACTTCCTCGAAAGACTTTAAAGAATTTGTTAATTTTTTTCTTTAATATGCACTGTAGAATTACTTTTTAATTATTGAATTTAAGTTGACTAGTCCTTTGTTTTTAGAGCTCAGTACTCATAAAAGTAAAAAAGAATGGTAAATTAGATGGGATTTGTGGTAGAATACTTGAAGAACTTTGTTTTGCTCTGAATTTTACATTCAGAATTGTATCCGAAACTGATGAGTATGGCATATGGAATAGAGAAGAACATAAATGGACTGGTGCAATTGGTGAAATAAATTCCAGACGTGCTGACATTTGTCCTGCTGGTTTTTCTCTGACTAATTCGAGATTAAATGATGTTGATTTTACGATTCCTTTTTTAATCTCTAGAAGTTCTTTTTTCATTCAAGAACCACAAAAATTCTTCTTTAAATGGTCATCTTTTTTCTCGGTATGATAAAATGTTTTCAAATCAAACGTTTTTTTATCCTCAATTTTTTACGAATCAATTGAACAGCATAATTTTGGTAATAGACTTTTACTTATTCCATTTGGATTTCTATGTTGGGAATATTATTCGTTCTATCTATCTTGCTAATTTTTTTAAAAGTAAATACTGGAACTGATCGAAAGATAGAACTTTTATTGTCGGATAATTTTCTGGAGATTTGGGGTATATTTTGTCAGCAAGGTCTCACAGGTTTGACATTTTATATATTTTTGTATTTTTTTCTTACATTTCTTTTTTAACAAAAAAAATCTTTTTCTTACAGATTTTCCCAATAGTTTCTCGTTAAGAATAGCATACTTTTCTATATTTATTTTAGTAGTCGTTTTATGGGCTGCTTATTCAGCTGCTTTGATTAGTTTTTTAACTACTACAAACAACATTTTACCATTTCGTTCATTAGAAGAGTTTGTTAATGACGGTACTTATCAACTTTACCTTTTTCGTGGATCGTATAATTATGATATGTTTTTAGTAAGTATAAGACCTATTATCTTTTTGTTTCTTCTGTAAGTTACTTAATCATTTAAAATTCATCTGTCACCTAATTAACAGATACGTCTTTTATTATATTTTTATGGTGGAAAACACGTAATAACTTTTCAAACTATTAGCTGTAAAATAATTTCTCTTGGTGTCGCATACTTGGATAAATGTATATATAATAATTTTAAATCTTTTTTATTTACAGAACTGGAAAGGTCCACTTGCACAGAAAATACAAAAGTTGATGATAGAAGAAAAAAAATTGTCACCGATTGCACTCGTAGGATTTAATGCAGTAAGATAAAGTATGATATAAAACATGATTAATTCTTAAATGCAATATTTCATTATTTATATTTGTTATAAAATTACAGATTTGTGAAAATCAGAAAATAGCACTTTATACATCCGAGATATTAAAAGATTCAGTTAATTCGGAAATACCATGTAACGTTGTTACTATCAAAGCAGGACATGTGGATACTGCTGGTATGATTTTGTCGAAAAACAATCCATACACTGACGTCATCAATTATCAGTATGATTTTTGTCAATAATTCAAATTAATATTTTCATTTATGCACATACGTTAAAGCATACGCTTGTTCTAGATTACAGAAGCTTATGGATAGTGGAGTAATATATCGTTTAAAAGAAAATTCACTTAAAATGAAATACATTGATGAGATAAAGTTTAAACCAGTTGTTATAACCAGTGTAATATCACTGATTTTCTTCATTCTAATTAGTACTTTTATAAGTATTTATGTACTGATCCTCGAAATGTGTATTTTTGCTCGAAATAAGAAGAAGAAATAAGTATTGCAAATTGATCCGTCCATTAATTCGCTAAAATTTAATGTTAAAAAAGGAGCATAGTAGAAAAGATGTTGCCTAAAATTAGAGAATTATAAGATCCACATAATTGTAGTAATTATGACATTAAGATGCTCTCTCTTTCTTCATCAAATTTTATATTATAATTATAATTCTTAAATTAAATTGAAACATTCGTAAGCACATCTGATCTTTCATATTTAATAACATTTTTGCAGTATTTATTTTTTTAACCCGAAAGCTTTCGTTTAAGTAGAAAGTATTGTTATACTGACAAATGTGTATGATGTTCCTGTATTAATTTGTAGAGTACATGTTCGATTTTATGGATTGTTAGAATTATTAAATTATGATAATGGAATTAGAATGGTTCTTTTTACCGGGTTAAACGCAGTGGTATATAGAAACCGAGAAATCGATATCTCACAACGTGCTGCTACGACGACAAACGATATAAAAGTGGGAACAAACGAAATGTAACCAAGTAAAAAAAGTAATAATTAATACGGAGTTCGCCAATCGCAAAGCGAGTACAGCGTATCGTCGTGTGCGTTATCACACCTATTACCAACATTTTTTTTAAGACGAAGAATTTTTTATCAATTGCGAAGTAACGTAAGCATTAATATATAATATATTAGATTATTATAATAATATATATGTCAGAATACGTTAATAGATGCCATTATGTGTGAAAAAAAACTCGCACTCATCAAAAAGATCGGAAAATACATTAAGGGAAATTGAAAGAAAACAAAAAATTATTAATATAACGACCAAAGACGTGTATAAACGAAGGATAAAATATTTTCTTTGAACGCATTGAAATACATACACACGAAGAAATGTTATGTTTATTAAGATCTCCACAACGATAACGATTCTCTCTCAATGCAAAAATATTTTTCTTAAGAAATTAGAAATTTAATCTCGTAGGATCTTCTTCTATAGTTTCATTAAAATTGTCTAATCGAATTCGGTATAACACAGTTGTTCGTTTGCTGCTTTCAAGTCGCGCTAATAATTCTTGATAGATACGATGAAAATTATGACATTATTTGTGCAATTAACAATACTCCTTCTACTATTTCTTTTACCGAAAATAACAGAATCGTACGAACAGATTTCGATCASCGACGAACACATTCCTTTGATCATCGACATTTGCAAATTGTATCGTGCATCGTCCGTCATTTTTTTATACGATGAATCGAAAAAAGGTATGCAAACATGTTCAACATTTTATTTTATTMGAAATATCCATTGACGTAACATTATTTATYAGCTTTTATCTTAATTTTTTCTAAATGATCTCTTTTTATTTAATAGAAATGGAAATTACAACGATGATGTTCAAATGGACGCGTGCACTTTCTCGCGAAGGTTTTATGACAACAAACTTCTATTTCTCAGAGTTGCATAAATCATCCTATTACGTAAAAAAAATTGTACAGCCACTTTACGTTGCAATGATTTCTAATTACAAAGATATTGATGAGCTTTCATTAGCAACAAGTACTTTCGACATGTCTTTTGCTGTGTGGTTTATTATTTTTACATATAGTGGACATGATCCGGATTATTGTCACAATCCACCGTTTAATATATTTCATTTGAGATTCGACTCGAAAATGATCGTTCGTTGCAATAGGGAAAATATTTTACGTGAATGGTATTCGATTGATAAAAATGAAACGGAGATCGATGATGTAGCATTGTGGAGCTTAGAAAACGGAATTACAACGATTGTTTCTAATACTCTGTACGTTAGAAGGAATAATTTAAAGGGTATGAATATGAGAGTTATTCTGATTAAGGTAAATTAATTTTTTTGAAAATGTTTTACTTATTTTTTTTTAAATCCTCAAATTATTTGTGTAAAAAAATTAAATTATTTGTAATAAGCAATTATATATATATACTTTTATAAACAAATTTCCAATATTTCGGTTATTTATTTTTCAGAACTCACCATTTATAAAAGTAATGAAGGATGGTAAATTAGATGGGATATTTGGTAGAACATTTGAAGAACTTAGTGCTTCTCTGAATTTTACTTTCCAAATTGTCTCAGAAGTGGAAGAATACGGTGCTTGGAACCCAAAAGAAAGTAAATGGACGGGTGCAATTGGTGAAATAATTTCCAGAAATGCCGATATTTGTCCTTCTAGTTTTTCTATAACTAATTCGAGATTAAATAATGTTGATTTTACGCTTCCATTTTTAGTCTCGAAAACTTCTTTCTTTATTCAAGAACCACAACAATTTTCGTTTAAATGGTCATCCTTCTTTTTGGTAAAATGAAACTTTTTTCAAATTGCATTTTTGTTCTCTTAACCACAATTTATTACGAATCAATTGAACGCTATATTTTTTGTCATAGACGTTTTCGTATTCTATCTGGATTTCTATATTGGGAATATTAATCGTGGCAACAATCTTGCTAATTTTTTTAAAAATAAATTCTGGAACTGATCGAAAGAAAGAATTTTTATTAGCTGATAGTTTTCTAGAGATTTGGGGTATATTGTGTCAGCAGGGTCTAGCAGGTTTGACATTTAATATATTTTTTGTATTTTTTTCTGATTTATCTTTTTTAACAATAAATTATATTTTTCTTCCAGATTTTCCTGATAGTTGCTCGTTAAGAATAGTATATTTCTCAATATTTATTTTAGTAGTCGTTTTATGGGCCGCTTATTCAGCTGCTTTGATTAGTTTTTTAACCACTCCGAACAAAATTTTACCATTTCGATCATTCGAAGAATTTGCTAAGGACGGTACTTATCAGCTTTACGTCTTTCGTGGATCTGTTATTCATGACATGTTTATGGTTAGTATTATATTTATGGATCTATTGTGTTTTCTAAAAAGATACTTTATTTTTTAAAAACAATTGGTCTCATAATATGAAACATTTTTATTTATTAATCGTGAATAAAACAAGAATACTTTTTGAACTATTTGTAGTTGAAAAATTTTTACTATTAGCATATAGCTTAATAAATGAACGTATAATAACGTGGAATCATTTTTATTTATAGAACTCGAAGGAACCATATGCGCCAAAAATAAGGAAATTAATGATAAAAGAAGAACAATTGTCAACAAGTGCAGTGATAGGATTTAATACAGTAGGATGAATTATTAAAAGAAAAAAAAAGGTAAATTTTTAGATGCGTTATTTTATTATTATTTCTTATAAAATTACAGGTTTGTGAAAATCAGAATATAGCACTCTATACGACTGAAGCAATAAAAGAAAACATTAATGTTAAGTTACCATGTGACATTGTTTCTATTAAAGTAGGAGAAATAGACATGGCTGGTATAATTTTGTCAAAAAACAATCCGTACACCGACGTCATCAATTATCAGCAAGTATTAAATTATTATTTTTAATACATCATTTATCGTATACGTAAAAATCTCATGCTTGTTGTAGATTGAAAAAATTTATCGACAGTGGAAGAATGCATCATTTAAAGCAAAAGTCATTGAGAATGACATATACAGATAATATTAAACATAAGCCAGTTCACGTAAACACCGTTATATCACTTATTTTCTTCATTCTAATTGGTATCGTATTAAGTATTTGTATACTAATCATCGAAGTTTGTATTTTTGCTTGTAATAAGAAGAAAAGATAAGTATTGCATATTGTTTCGTCTCTTAATTTGCAACAATGTAACATTAAAAGTGAAAAATACCAGATAAAATATGGCATATAATTTTAGAAATTAGGGAACCTACAATATTTTAGTAGTTATATTAATATTTTTGCCAATTATTTTTTTATAATACAATTGTAATTTTTTAATTGAATTTTAACAAATATAAACACATCTAATCTTTCACATTCAAGTATAGTTTTGCTATATTTGTTTTCATTGAAAGCCTTCGTTTATATAAAAAGTATTTTTATACGGTAATATGTAATGTAAAGGTATCAATTTGTAAAGTGCATGCTTCAATTTTATCGATTGTTACACATAATAAATTTTGTTAATGACATTAGAACGTTTCTTTTAAGAGAAGGAGGTCTCTACTAATAGCAAAGTATCATAAGCGTATAATTTTTATACGGATACGTTAATACTGGTCATATAGTATTATTGTACACTTACTTATCGACGAGATCGAAGAAGTACATTAGGAGAAATTAAAAGAAAACAATTAATTTCTATAAAAAAGATCTAGTTTGTATCAACGTAAAGAAAATAATTTAATTTAGACGTATAAATACATGCGGACAGAAACGTTATATTTATTCAGATCTCCACAATGATAACGACACTAAATGAAAAAATATTTTTCTTCAGAAATTAGAAATTTAATCTCGTAGGATCTTCTTCTATAGTTTCATTAAAATTGTCTAATCGAATTTAGTATAACAGAGTTGTTCGTTTGCTGCTTTCAAGTCGCTCAAATAATTCTTGGTAGATACGATGAAAATTATGACATTATTTGTGCAATTAACAATACTCCTTCTATTTTTTCTTTTACCGAAAATAACAGAATCTTACGAACAAATTTCGATCAGCGACGAACACATTCCTTTGATCATCGACATTTGCAAATTGTATCGTGCATCGTCCGTCATTTTTTTATACGATGAATCGAAAAAAGGTATGCAAA